GTGATATAAGACAATGAAGACTTTTAACTGAGTAGACATATAATTGCTGATTTTTAAATTAATTTTTAGGGAAATAGGGGATCAGTGGCATTTGGCAATTCAAGAAGCAATTTTAGAAAAATGCAGTGATAATGATGGCATCGTTCACATTGCAGTAGACAAAAATTCACATGAGGTAAAATAATTTCTAGTATTGAATTCCATGTTTTGGACTTATTGCTATTAAATTAAGACTATTTCTTTCTTTTTTTGTATTACAAGGTTGTGTGTATGTTAAATGTTTGTCTCCAGAATATGCTGGAAAGGCTTTTAAGGCATTACATGGCTCTTGGTTTGATGGTAAGCTCTTTGAGTATTACAAACATCTAGAAAAGATAGTTATGGTTTAGTGTTAAACTATAGATTTTAAATTGAAGAATTCGAGGTTAGCATTTTTTAAATAATAATTTTAGATGTTTTTGTTTTGTGATTATATATATTTAACCACTTAATTTTCTAAAAATTGATTAAACATGTTTTTACAGATTTAAAATATTTTTATCTTACAACAGGGAAATTGGTTACAGTAAAATATTTACGACTAGATAGATACCATCATCGTTTTCCCCAAGCTCTTACTTGCAACACTCCCTTGAAGCCATCACATAAACATATGAACTCTAGGTCTCATCTTTGGCTTCGGACTGGCCTAGCCAATTCTCAAGGAAGTTCCTGAAAAGACGTTCTTCACTCCTAGAACAATAGGAAAATTCCAGTTTGGCTTCCTGTCTTCCTTTCTAAATGCTTTTTGTATGTAATATTTTTATTGCTGAATACAGCTCTGTTTGAAAGTTCCAGAAATCTTAAGGTTCCAAAGGGATTTAACAGTGAGGCAGCAATACTAAGTAGGTAGAATAATTATTTCATTCAGTTTTTGAAGCTCAGTTAAGCCAATGCATTTAAAGTTTTGCATGAGGATCCTTGACTTTATACACATTTTCAGATGTAGTGGTTATATTTTTGCACCAAGAAGTGCTTGGATAACCACACAAAAGCATGGTGAAGAGACTTCCTGTATTTCCATAATTTCTTGT